AAGGGCAAGGGGTGGCAGGGAACATTTTTGGATAACAGAGCTGAACAGAACAGGAAGTTCTTTCCCAGCTTGTGGATGGCATGGAGCCAGAGGGGCTGGTGGGTTGACTGCCCTTGGCCATGGGGAAGCCGAGCAGCGGGGCTGTGTGCCCAGCTAGGACAATCTGAAGGGCAGTGTCCAGGTTCCTTCTGCCACCTGGAGGCTTGGGGTGGCACCCTAAGAGAGAAGCGATGAGGAAACTGAGGTGAGGTTGAGGGTGGGACGGAGAAAGTCTCTGGGCTCTTTCTTGGGCACAGACAGGATCTTCCGCTGCTCCTGGGGGGTGCAAGCAGCTGCGGGTGCCTGGGAGAGCAGGAAGCACAGGAGTCTGGCAAGAGGGAGCCTGGGACTTGGTTGGAAGTGTTGGCAGGGCTGGGGCAGGTGTGGGGCCCTGTGCCTGGACATACCTTGGCTGCAGCAGAAATAGTGCTCTGTTGACATTTATGCTGGAGTGAGATTAGGTTAGACCTAATCTGCTAGGTGCCAGTGTCCACATATCCGTCTTTATCAAGCACCTGCTGTGTGCTGGGTAAACGCCAGGCTGGGGTGCAGAGGTGGACTAGGAGTGAGCAGCTCAGGCCAACTCTTCTAGAAGCTTAGGGCACACCCAGGGAGCTCTCTTCAGGCCCCTTGACCTCAAGGGAGGCGCAGCTGTTTTTTGCAGATGAGGTGACAGAGCAGAGGACACACCCGCCAGGCTGCTTCCTGTACCACTGGCTTTTTCTGGGGCTTGTTGCTCTTCTACAAAGAGGCCATGGCCCTTGCTGCCACAGCCCCCCATGCAAACGTGTGCCACGTGCTCTCCCTGCAGGGCTCTGGCCAAGCCTGCCCGCTGCCCTGGTTTCCTCCCGAGGTCCCTTCCTGCCGCCACCTGGCTGTCATCGGGCTGGACGCCTACCTGTGGTACCACTCACCCTGATGCCTAGGCTGCAACAGGGGTTCAGAGAGGGTGGGGGTGCCTTGGGGGCTGCTGTGGCCCTGCTGATCCCACTGCCCTGGAGGGGTAGAACTCAGGGAGGGCAGGACCCATAGGGAGGGGGAGCCAAAGGGAGGGTCATTTCTGCTCAGGTCTCGCCAGCCCATCACCCAGGGGACGCAGCAGCCTGAGAGTCCAGAGGAGGCTCCTGCCGAGGTGACTGTCAACTGGCCAGAGGTAGAGGAGGTGAGGGCTGGTCTGGCCGGGTGAGTCAGTTGGCTTTGGTTGTGGCTGCCCTCTGCCGGGTTTGGTTCCCAGGGTGGCGTGTGGGGTTGGTCTCAGCTCAGTGTCCCCAGGGGACCCCTCCTCTGGCCCACACCCACGGCTCGCCCCCTCCCCAGGCCCTGGTGCGCCTGCAGCTCTGGGCGAATGTGGACGTGCTGCTGGTGGCCTCCTGGCAGGAGCTGAGTCAGCACGTGTGCGCCGTCACCAAAGCCCTCGCCCAGCGCCCCTTCAAGTGCGTGCCTCCTGCCGGGCTGTAGGCTGTGCTGGGCAGGGGAACAGGATCACCTGGGGGGTGGTGCCTCCCTGGCCTCTGGGAGGGCAGAGCTGGGCAGGAAGGCGCTGCGGTGCCCGCTGGGGGAGGGGAGGGTGATGGGGAGGTGAAGTCTCTACAAGGCCTCCATGCCCCTCCCTGTCTGCAGGCAGTCCCAGGAGTCGCAGGCCTTTAACTTCTGCACAGCAGGGCGCTGGGCAGCGGGCAAGCCATTGACGGGAGACAATGGCGCAGGGCTACGGAGGGCCTGGTGGAGGCAGATCAGGCAGTTTAACCGGGTCAGCCCAGCCGTGGCCGACGCTGTTGTCACTGCCTTCCCCTCCCCCCGCCTCCTGCAGCAGGTGGGCTCCCCACCCCCACCCCCACCCCCACAGAGGCCAGGCCCTCTAGCCCCCCCTCATCCCTACGCCTGTCCTTAGGCACTCGCGGCCTGCAGCTCGGAGCAGGAGCGCAGGGGTATCCTGGCGGACCTCCCCGTGAAGGCCAATGACGGCCGGCGGCCCCGCAGGGTGGGGCCCGACCTCTCCCGCCGAGTGTACCTCTTTCTGACCACCACCAACCCCGACCTCCTGCTGGACCTGGGCTCCTGACCACGGCTTCGGGACCCAGCGGAGGCCTCCTGCCTGCCAGCGGGACAGCACGTGGCCCCAGGGATTGACCAGACACCTTTGGCCCAACAAGTACTGTCACCCTGGAGTGGGCTCCCAGCCTCTGATCTCAGGGGAAGGGCAAGGGGTGGCAGGGAACATTTTTGGATAACAGAGCTGAACAGAACAGGAAGTTCTTTCCCAGCTTGTGGATGGCATGG